AGACTGACCTGTGAGTCAGCTCTGGCAAAAGCTGAAGCGCTCCGTGCTTTGAAGTGCCAGTGCTTGGTGCCACATGAGACCCACCATGCAGATTGCTTCTAAAAATGTTGGTTGGATTCTCTCCTGAGGAGGTGTCAGCTCCGCTGCTGCTGCTACAGGTGGCACACAGCACAGACAAATAAGACATTTATTTGTTGTCACCCTCAAACTTCCTGAATTACCTTGCTTGGGAATTCAGCTTGTGACTCTTCCCTTGGTGGATTTTTTAGAAGATAGGTAAAGTTATTACAGCGCTGGCCTGGTGCTCAGCCAAAAGTCCTTTTATTTTTTTAATAGTCACCACACAGGCAGTGGCAAGGCAAGCTTCCTCTGTGCACAAGCTGTTAGGGACAGAAATATTGTTCCATTTTCAGTCAGAAAATCCTGTTCAGTCAGAGCTGGGGCTGCATGCTGGGGAAGCTGCTGGTGAGGGCCACTGCTTGTGGTGCTGCTTTCTGGGACACTGAGAGATGGGCAGTAGGACTGGCCTGAGAACATCAAAACCAGCACATACACCCAGAATTGTGTCAGTAGCCACATTCTGATTGGTTTTGTTGGTTTATATTGAGCCTGGAGTACTAAAACTGGTAACCCTAGAGGAATTGCTCAGTCTGGAAGCAAGCTGTCAGTGGCTCATGCTGGTAATATTTGTCCCACCACTGTATGAGTACAATGGGATGCAGCCATGCCTCTTAACACCCCAGCTCAGTTTGTTCTCTGAAGCCAAGCAGATCAGGAGAAAGAAGAGCTCTCCAAAAACATTCGGGTGCTGCAAGAGATGACACCAGTTATCTGAACACCACCCCCCCAGCCCCTCGTGGGCCCAGGGTGATCCCCCTCGCTGTGATCCCATTATTACAAGGTGAAATTCTCCTTGTGCCATGCACCATTGCTTAACTTTACTCTGCTGAGGGACAGGCTTTTAGGAAGGCTTTTCCAGAACTGGCAATTAGGAAGCCCTAATTAAGAAGCCTGGTTAGTCTGAACCACGATGTTGGCACTTGGGCACCAGCTGACAGTCAGGAACATGTCAAATTATTCAATTTTTCAGTCAGTATCTACCGCCTACTTTTTTAGGTGGCCAGCACGAAAAAGACACAAACTCACATTCCAATTCAGCTTAGTGAGAGCCACTTTATAACCACATCCTTCGATTTAACTCGCTTTGGTACCGGGACTTTCCCACTGACATCAGTTCCCAGGGATGCAGCGAGCCTGGCACACGTGTGTGTGTGTGTCCGTGTGTCCGTGTGTCCGTGCTCTCAGCAGCGCTTCCCTGCAGCTGCAGACCCGAGCACAGCACCGTCAGTGGCACGGAGCGTTCCAGCGGAGTTCATTTCCTGCTGATAAGCCCCCGAAGCAGAGGGCGAGGCTCAGCGGCAGCGGCGTTGTTCCAGCGCCGAGGGCCCCGGGCAGGCAGCAAAGGGTGGGCTCCAAAGGCGAGTTTCCCATAGAAAAACGCTGCTCACGTTCGCTTCCTGTCGGGCTGCCAAGTGACAGACCTGATGCGTAAAGGCAACCCAAAACAGGATGTTGGCTTTGCGAGCCGGTTGATCTTTGAAATGCAAATGTTGTTTCTTTGGTGGTTACCTTATCCCTCCCCTTTTTTGTTATTTTTCAGTTGAGAATTGAGCTGCTTGAGTGGGAACGGAAAGGGTTGAAACCCCATTTTCAGGAGGTCAAAAGCCCAATATAGAAACAGCTGCTGGTTAGTGGTGTGAATTCCAGGAAAGGATGTGGGTAACAGCAGCCAAGGCCAGGCAGAGGGGTGGACAGAACGACCTCAGAAACTGGCACTGACAGGTGAGCTCTACTAAAACCCTCAACAAATGTCTTAACAAAGCACAGAATTGCAATCTGTCCTGCAGGAACCCACAGCTCCCTCCACCCTTTGCTCTCCCACCACCCTGACAAACAGACCTTGCCAGATTTGGCAGCTAGGCATCCCAAATGAGATAACTGCATGGACACCAATGCCAGAGACAAAATTTCAGATGCCCTCCAATGCACTTTTAACTAACTGGTTTTTGGGTAAAGCATAGCCATGGCTCTGCACATCCTTTTTGTTGCTCCCTCTGAGCACCCTGCAGAATCTCCACTCTCCATCCTTAATAATGCAAGAAGACAGCAAATGTTGCCCATGGTGTTTCCAAGCATGGCAGAACCCCTTACACCACCTGTTTGGAAGGAATGCCAGATGAAGGAGTTCCTTGCACCTCTCTCCCACGTGCTGCCTGTAGCAGGAGTGCCAGTCATTTCTTCTGAAGCAAACCTGCTGTGTTGGCCTCACATGTCTTGAAAAGAATCAGACAGGAAGCTGCAAAATCCAGGGGGCCACAACTGCAGCATTTTCTCAGTCAAATGAAATTTCCCCCCAGAGCCTGTTTTACTGTTTTAATGGCACTAGTGATGACTTTTTTTTTTTTTTCCTGCAGAGCAGAACAGATGTGGAACTTATTTTTGGATATAAGAACAAGTTAGTTTCACAGACACTGCTACATCCCAGGTTTGTAAGCAGGGACATACAGAAGGATGCAAAGAGTCATACTGGAAGATACCTCCAAATACTTGCAAATGCACATCATGTGCAACACCCAGTTTCTCTCTAGAACCTCCCTTAATAAGGTTTGTTTCAGAGGTCTTGCAGCTAAAGCATGTGAGTTGTTTGTTTAGATTTTCTAGTGGTTTTCAGTCCAGAAACAAGAGAGAGGAAAACAAATCCACACCTCATGTCTTCATGTCTTCCTGTCTGGAGAAAAACAGACACTGTATTTCTGTGCATTCACCCCTTGCTCCTTCAAGAAGGGAGATTTAGCATGGAAAAGTGTCAGAAGTACAGACAAAATTATAAAAATGCTCTGATACTGCATACCATGCCCAGAGCAATGGCATTTGGGAATCCAGCAGGCAGAAAAGGTTTGCTTTGTGGCAAGATACTTGCAGGCAGAAATAAATGGAGTGAAGAATTGTGGTGGGGCAGCTGCAACAGCTTTTGCTTTACTAATATGGGTGAAGTGATACTGCCTCTCCCTAGCAGTTTCCTTTTCTGTACACCTAAGCAAATGGTTTCCTCTGCACAGCAGAGCCCCTGAAAGCAAAAAGAAAATACTGAAAGGGTCCCTGAGCAGCAGGAAAGAGTTATGGGAGGTGTCACTGACGGTGTGTTACATGGCAGATATCTAGAAAACAACACTTGTGACCCATGTCCAGTGAAATCCCTCACCTTGGAATCCTCCTGCTGTCCCACAGCAGGCAGACCATGGGCAGTGGAAGAATCCTGCCCTCCCTGCCTCAACCCTGTTTCTCAGTTCAGTTTCTATTCCCTATCCTAATGTATACCATTGTCAGGACTTGAAGAAATCAATGGGATTTCCAAACAAGTGGTAGTTCATTTTAATATTTATTTGAGATTTTAGTTTCTTATATCTACAGTTGGAGCATCTTGTGGTTGCTTACAGCAGAGGGGTTTCATCTAATCCATCTAATCCAGTGTTTCAACAACAGAAGATTAATTAGTCCTCTTGCCCAGTCTCCAGATTGCAGCAACTCAGCCTATCATTCTTTTGGCTAAGGACAGAGTGACTATTGTATATTGAATCTGGGAGATAACTGGACCACAATTTAAATCTGCAAATTCCACAGGAGTCCTGCAGCGTGCAGGACAGCAACAGTTAACTGCACTGGGAGAACCCTCTCAGTAACAGGGAGCTGGGCTATCATGATGCTCACATTTAAATCCTTGCTGGAGCGTTTTCAGCCACAGCCAGCAGGGACTTGTGAAACACTGCAAGGGAGAAGCATGCATCCCTTCTAGAAAACATGCTTTAGCTCTCCTCTGCCCCCGAGGTACCGTGCCAAAATGACGATATGACATTGTGTCACTTTGCAGCTGCACTCAGGGCGAGGAAGCCGGCAGAAGACAAAGGGAGCGTTTCCAAATTCCTCTGCACCACCCTGCTCTCGAGAGGTGGGGACTGAAATTCTTTGAGAAGGAGCACATGCAAACAGTTGCTAAAAGAGATGTCCGGTTTACAACGCTGCGATCAGCGTGGAAAGGGAAACCGCAGCAAAAACATCCCGGAGCTTTGTTTTTACCCATCTGAATTTCTCTACCACCACGGGAGCGTCTCGCTTCCAGTGCACGAGTCTGAACATCCCTGCGAAGGGAGAGCAGAGCAACCCACACCTTCCGACCTGGTGGTGTGAGATTCAGGGTGGAATTCAAAGGTGGAAAGAGCTGGTCCTGCTTTACAGCTGGACAGTGCCAGCCCTGTATGGGCACCCTCTGCTAGTGCCCCCAATTCAGCCCTGTCCTCTCCCTGCGGGATCACCCAGCAGATATTTGTCCTTCCTGGGAGTCCCAGCCGCGCACCAGGACAACGCCTTAAATTCTACCCAAGCCCCATAATCACCATTGCTCTCCTCCTGTTCTGCCTTTCTAAAGACAGTTCATTGCCGAGTGAAATTACCGAAAAGGAGGAAGAGAAAGGAAAGCTGCCATTAGAAAGAAAGGGATTCTCCCCTCACAAACAGGCAAGAGACCCTGGGAGAGGGAAGTGTGGACAGCAGAGATCGAAGCAGAGATAGCAGGGCAGGAACTGCAAGCATTGGAGAGAAATAGAGACTAAACGGAGGGGAGTAAAGATAAGGTGATAGAAAATAGGAAGGAGGAGACAAAAAAAGGGAGAGGAAATGCACACGCGGTGTCCCCCAGCTTGGGCGCGGAGGCAGAGCTTGTTGCTTGTTGTCTCCAGAGCCCGGCGCTCCGGGAAGGACAGTATCTGTTTAGATTTGTGTCTAAATTTAAACCCTGATTGCCTTGCCTCCCCCTCCCCTCCCGTCCCTCCCTCCCTTCCTCTCACCCACCCGCCCTTCTTCCTTGTTCGCAGCGCAGGGCCACTGGCCGGGCTCTGTCTGTCCGTCTGTCCGCTCGGGCTGAGCAGCAGCTGGGATCTCCCAGCCCTCCGCGCTCTGCTCTGCCTCTCCTGAACTTTTCCCACAGATAACAGGGAAAGGGGTGGAGAAGAAGGATTGCCCCGAGGACACCTCTCTTCTTGCAGGACATGGAGGTAAAGAAAACTTTTTTTTATTTCCACTAGCTTGTGACTGGCTCCGCGATCTGCCTTAGCTCCACCTTGCAAAGCAATTTCTCCCTGAAGGCAGCTTCAAAAGATCTTTTTGCTGGGGTTCAGATAAAGGTCTCTTTCCTCCCACCCCGACTCCTGTCCTGCACCTCAGACTCTTTTGCAGGTTTTAATCCAGATTTGGAAAGCAGGGGCATGGTTTGGGAAGAAATTACCTCTGTGAAAGGGGAACGAGGAAAAGTTGCCATTTACTTATTGGTCTCTAAATGTGTTAGATCTCCAACATTATCTCTAGCTGTGTTAGATTTTAAAAGGTATCATTTTGAAAGGAGGTTTTAAGGAGTTATTAAAAATGGGGGCATAAGAGAACAAACTTTCCAAGCTCCTTGGGGTTGGTTCCTTCCCCACCCGTGCAGCAGCACTTGTGATTCACACCCTCAGCTGTGTGTGGCTCCTGTCTCAGGTGGGTTGGGAGGTCTCATTTTCCTTTCATTGGAACATTTTGGGTCAGGGAAGGCGACCTGAGAGCCTGTGCTTGAGTGAGGTAGATGAGTAGCACACCCCCAGAAGGTTTTCTGTCCCTTTTTCTCTGTGTACCCTGTGCTCCAGGAGAGCTGGATCTCGTGTCTCAGGGTGGGCACAGGACTCTGGCTTCCCTGGGGTTTATGTTCAAGCCTTCTCCTGTATTACACCCTCCTGGGCAAGGCAGTTCACCTCTCTCTTCCTCCCCTCCCATTCATTTAAAATGGGAATGGTGGTGTTGGGAATGGCTGACTCAAGTCAATCATCTTGAAATACTTTCTGCTGAAAGTGCCATGTTTCTCCTGATGTAAGCTCAGATGAAACATGCCTTGTTTTCATAGACACACACTCGAGCTGGGGTGCCAGGCTTCCCAGGAATGTCACCCCTTGGGCCTTGCAGTGAGGGCACGTTTAACTTGGAAAATGTGCACAGTCTAATTTGGTTTCCCAATTAGTCTTTACAAGGGGCATGGAGTTGTTGACACTGTCCCTCTGTGAGAAGCCAGGGTTTGCATTCCCAGTTTGAAGGTGTTCATTCCCAGTTTGAAGGTGTTCATTCGCAGTTAGAGGCAGAGGGGCTCTCTGTGCAAGCAAACGTGGTACTCCAGACAGTCTGTGAAGAGCACAGAGTGGAAGGAGAGGGATGGATTCCTGAACACACTGGTTACTCCTACAAAAGAGAAACAATCCTAGCACTGTCTTTCATCTCCCAGCTCACTGCAAAGTTGCCTTTTCCACTTACATCAGGACTTCATTCTCATGTTATGCATCATCCTGTCATAGCCAAGTAAGGTACTGAAAAATCACTGGATCATTCCAGTGACTCCAGAGATCAAAAATTGAATTTAATCTTTCTTCTCAACACCTGTGAATTTAGGGCCTTGCTGGCCAGAGCTTCCTAGTGCTGAGCCTAGTGAGCTTCACTCACTGAGCAAGTTTTGTGCAGGCACTGAGCCCACACTTCCTGGACACCTGGTTCTGGTGGCCCAGCTTGAACCTGGGAAACTGGGCCTGAGGTTGAAGGAACTTCAATTTCTCTTCTTGCCAGAGAGAAAGAACATGTAGAGGGTCCAATCAGCCAGCAGGTAAAAGAAATGGAGCACTGAAGTAGGGTAGAGTGTTTCAAAGCTCTTACAAATACTGGGTTTCTCCATTAAAGCATTTTGGGAGAATTTTATGAGCAGTTTCACTCAGAAACAGAGATCATTATCTTCTTCACATCACCAAAAAATAATCTATGTCAAAGGCCAAGCTGCAGCTCAGGAGTTGCTTGGTGCATTTTCCTTAGGGTATAGAGATGAGTTGTTTACCTGTGGAAAAGACTAAATTTCCAATGCACCATTATGGCCAATCCAGACTGGGCTGAAAACTCAGGCACTTTCAAACATAATAGCAAATTACAACTGCCTGGGTTCATTTCCCCAGTGTTTGGCCCAGTTTTCAGGAGTCTTGCAGGCTGGAGACTCTGGATGAAGCCAGAGGGTGGGAAAGCAGCTTTGCAGCCCCAGGTCCTCCGTGCCACTGGGGCCACTGAGCCCTCCAGGGTCCAGCTGACAAGGGATCTCGGTGGGTACAGCTCAGCACTCACACCTCAAGCTGGCTGCCGGCAGAGTGCTTGCTATCACTTTCCTCCACTCCATATCTGTGTGCCTTTTTAGACTAAATTCCTGGCTTAGATAAATATGAACCTCCTTCTCTGTCCTGCCTGTATCCAGTGTAGACCTAATTTAATAGCCATGTGTTACAAAGATAGCACAGCCCTAACTGATGAGTCTGGAAGCCTCTGTAGTTGGAAGCTCTGTGTAGGCTCATTTACCCTTCTGATTTTCTGTTCCAAGCCTGATAAATTGAGAGGAGTTTGAATCCCTATGCTGCTCCAGCTAGGCTGTCTCTAACTGAGTTTAAATGGGAGGTACCACACTCTACTTACAGCATTTATCAGAAGTATTTTGAACTGTCCCTACATCTTGCATTCTCTGTGCACCTTCTTTGACAGTTCAGTGACTTCAGTTTCTAATTTAACCTTCTGAATAGCTTCAGATTAGATAATTTATGCCTTTTGTATATGCACTTGCCTAAAGTTCATCCTCTTTAACCACTTACTAGGCAAAGAGCAATCCCTCCCCCCATCCCATCTTGAGTCTGAGCCTCCTCGTGTTGAAATTCATCTTTTTTTTTTTTTCCTGCCCCCTTGTGAGGCAGCCAAGGGAGAAGATCCATTGGGTTGAGACCTTTTCTGCTGCAGGGGCTGTTCCATTGGCTCAGCAATGGAACAGAGCAGCTGCCCAAGGGTCTCCCAAGGGTTTGCAGGTGAGAGCAGGGTGTAGCCTTCCCTCATGTCTGAAGCTACAGCAAGGCACTTAAAGGAGCACCATGGCTGAGATGGCATAAAATAATGATTTATTTCAAGGCACAATAGGATAAACATGGTTTGTGCCTTTCTTTCCCCACTGAATTAATGCACATGCAAGTCCAGCCTTCCTGGCCATCACTCCACTCTGTGTCTTAGTCTAGAGTTCCTTGTTCACGTGAGAGCAGAGCACTTGCCCTACAGACCACATTATTTCCTGTCTCCTGCCCTGTGGGCAGCCTGGGAGGTTTCGCTGGTTGCTCCTCCATTAGCTCACCCCTTACTCTCCTAGAGCAGCAAGAGCTCCCCAGAAGAAGGCCTGGAAGCATACACAGAGAGGCACCAATTAATTTGGGGGAGCTTGACAAGCTGTGTACAGTTCCCAGACCATTAAGAAAAACAGATGTCTGGAAGGGAAGCACTGGGAAGCTGAGAAGGATCCTGAGGGAAACCCTGGCCAGGAGCAGAGCTCTGAACAAGCAGCTGGTGAAGGCAGCTCACCAGGAAAGCAGCTACATCTCACAGTGACCACCACTGCTCTTCATCAGAGCTGCCAGCACGCCCCTCCCGCCATGGAGCCTTTGGAAGCAGCCCTTGGAAGTCTCCAGGACACATCCCAGAGGCTGCCTGGACAAGCTGCTGAAGACACAGGGGAAGCAATGCTCTCCAGGCCAGCCAGAGCAACATCTTGCTAACAGCTGTTGTCAGCTGTAAATCAGGACATCAGCATCACCCTGCCAGGGTACAGATCAGCCCTTGGCTCCAGCGGAGCAATTCCACATTGGGAGTGTCTGTGGATTCTTAAAACAACACAACCTCATCGACTTACTTATTCAATGGATGATTTCTGAGAAATAACCCATTCCCCTCCTTCAGACATATTATCTGCAGTTTAGATATCTGCTATAGCTCTTGTCTGTTGTATCACCAAGCTTTCAGACAGTATTTATTGCTACAGGGCTCCCATCAGATGGAGAGAAGGAATTCATGGCAGGACTTTATATCCGTATCCTGCCTGACATACCAGAAAACCCCGATGTCTTCCTGAACTAAGCTGAAAACTGTGTAGGTGTTCACCTAATTTAATTTTGGAGAAATGAAAAGTAGTGCTGCTTGAAGGAGAGTGGGGATCTTCCATTACTTAAGGAAGTGGTGCATTAGCTCTCAGATGACACTGAAATCCTGCTGCCAGGTTAATCACAGAATCATCTAGATTGGAAAAGACCTGTAAGTTCATCAAGTCCAACCATTAACCCAGCCCTGCAAAGCCCACCACTAAAACAAGCCCCTAAGTGCTACATAGCCATGTCCTTAGGGATGGTGGCTCCATCACTTCCCTGGGAACCTGTTCCAGTGCTTGAACAACCCTTTCAGTGAAGAAATTTTTCCTAACATCCTATCTAAACCTCTCCTGGGGGGCAGCTTGAGGCCATTTCCTCTTGTTAAATTCCCACTGGCCTCCTTCATTGTGGCCTCCTTTAAGTGAGGAACTGAGGGCTGTATTTGACAGAGCATTCCAGAGCAAGGGACTTTATTTTCAGCATCCCAATCTGAATTTTCATAACCTCAAATAATAGGAATGCTCAGTGTATCTGCTGCAAGGTTCTGGCTTACTGATAGCACTCCCATTTAAGCAGCACAAGCTGTTTCCCCCAAGAGACTTAGAGATATGGTAAACTTGATGGACAATTGCTTCAAATGTGTCCCTGGTGTTCACTTGGAGCAAGAGAAGAGGTCTGCAGCACCAACTCCATTCTTTTAAGGCCACATGAGGAAAAAAATCCCCTTTTTTTAGAAACTGTTTGTTCCAGATAAATAGAGCCAGTATTTTTAAAACAAGTGTATTAACTCGAAGGAAACAGCAAGACACTGAGTTTGCAGGACTTCATAAAGGGAAGAGGTGTATTAATTTGGTCTCCTAGTGTAGTCAGACTTAGTAGTTGTAGAGATCTGTGTTCAGCTATTTGTTTTTTGTGTCTCAGTGCTTAAGGTTGTGTTCAGCTATTTGCTTTTTGTGTCTCAGTGCTTAAGGTTGCTGATGGCTGAGCTCCAGTTTGCAGTGGTAGAGCTGTAGTCAGATGGTTTGCAATACAGTTCCACCTACAGAAGCCAC